AAATCTGAGCACTTACTAACCTGTGGTGACTTAAAAATTGCATAATTTGAAGGTAGAATTAGTGAGAATTTTTCATCTTTTCTGTATCATGCAGAAATTTAGCCCTTTCGTGCCCTGCTTGTCAGTAAAATGTATTTAGATGTTTTCATGGTTTAGAATAGTAATAAGTGGTGTTATAATATTACTGTCCCAAAATCTTCATTAGAGAGTGAAAAAAAGTGTGCTCTTGCTGGCTGTTTTAGTAAACAAGAACTCTCTGGTGTCAGTTTTTTCTTTTGTATCAATGCCCTTGGGTTTTAGGTGCTCAAAGGTGGCACATAGGAACTGATAATAATTCTGTTCCCTCGAGGTCCATCACTGGGACCATTATCTGGAGTGCCTGCTCTACTACTTTTCAGTTGCTTTCTTTCCTGATTGTCACAATTAAAACTGGTGAATCTTGTGTTGTGTTGTTCATTAGTTACGGCATTACTGAAGTTCTTGAAGCACATTTTGGTCTTTGACTTTTTATTTTTTATCACTTGTTTTATTAATTGGTAATATTGGAGTTTTAAATGTTTATAAAAAATGAAAAGATTAACTTGTAAATCCCAAATTATGGTTAATTTAGGCCCAGTCCTTCATCCAGTATTAATGAAAGGATCAGTATTACTCAGGGAGAACTGTGAACTGGTGCCCTGTTTGTTGAAAATTATGGAGTAAACCTATAAGGTGTAAGTGTTTTGGTTTTGTTATGTTCAGAAAACCTTTTACAGTCCTTATTATTTTCTTATTTTAATCGTTTTTTGGGTACAGGTGGTTTTTGGTTACCTGGATAAATTCTATAGTGGTGAATTCTGAGATTTTAGTGCACCTGTCACTTGAGCAGTGTACACTATTCCCAGTATATATTCTTGTAGCCCTCACCCTCTCCCAACCTACCCTCCTGGAAGTCCATTATATCACTCTGTATGTATTTGCACCCTCATACCTTAGCTCCCACTTACAAGTGAGAACATAAAGTATTTGGTTTTTCATCCCTGAGTTAGTTCCTGTAGAATAATGGCCTCCAGCTCCATTCAAGTTGTTCCAAAAGACATTATTTTGATTCTTTTTATGGCTGAATAGTAGTCTGTGGTGTATATATGCCACATTTTCTTTATTCACTCTTTGATCAGTGAACACTTAAGAGTCCACCTCTTTGCAATTGCAAATTGTGTTGCAATAAACATGTGTGTACATGTGTCTTTTCATATAATGACTTCTTTTCCTTTGGGTAGATACCCAGTAGTGAGATTGCTGGATCAAATGGTAGATCTGCTTTTAGTTCTTTAAGGAATCTCCATACTGTTTTCCATAGTGGCTGTACTGATTTATATTTCTGGCAGGAGTGTAAACCACATCGTGACAACATCTATTTTTTTTTTTTTTTCACTTTTAAATTATGGCCATTCTTGCAGGAGCAAGGTGGTTTCTCATTGTGGTTTTCATTTGCATTTCCCTGGTGGTTAGTGATGCTGTTTTGTTGGCTGTTTTTGTATACCTTCTTTTAAGAAATGTCTGATTCCATCCTTTGCCCGCTCTTTGATGGGATTTTTTTTTTCTTGCTGATTTGTTTTGAGTTCCTTGTAGATTCTGGATTCTAGTACTTTGTTGGTTGCATAGTTTGCAAATATTTTCTCCCACTCTGCAGGTTGTCTGTTTACTCTGCTGATGATTTCTTTTGCTGTGTAGAAGTTTTTAGTTTAATCAGGTTCCAGTTACTTATCTACATTCTAAAAATGTAGAATTTTCATGGTTTCAGGTCTTAAATTTAAGCCATTAATCCATTTTGAGCTGATTTTTGTATAAGGTGAAAGATGGGGATCTAGTTTCGTTCTTCTATATGTGGCTTGCCAGTTTTACCAGCACCATTTATTGAATAGGGTGTCCTTTCCCCAATTTATGTTTTTGTATGCCTTGTTGAAGATTGGCTGTATTTGGCTTTATTTTGTGGTGCTCTATTCTGTTCCACTGGTATTAATGCCTATTTTTATGCCAGTACCATGCTGTTTTGGTAACTATAGCCTTGTAATATAATTTGAAGTCTGGTCAGGTGATGTACAGGCCTCGTTTGAAAGAAATCACATGTTTGACTTACGTGGATAAAGGCAAGTTTCCAACCCCTTACAGCCCTGCCTTTAACATTTTTGTTAGATTTTCCCTTTTAATATAATTTTGTTGGAATGGGGTATATTTATTCGTCTGAAAACTTGGATCTCTAATAATTGGTTGATATTTGTTTCCTGATCTTCTACTGTGCTGAAGGGAACAGCGTGACTGCTTTTGTAAACTGAGTTTTATACCTGTTTACCCGTTCTTGTTTAATATACTTTAGAGCTCACTGATTACATTTGCCTAGTTCTACTTTTGTGTGTGTGAGGTGCTGAAGTATCTAGCTCATTAGGAAACTGATTTATATAGATACTGGCTTTTGTTTCTGAGATGGTTATATCCCTAATATCGGCATTAATTGATAAATGAAAAATTTTTCTTTGAGACGGAGTTTCACTCTTGTTGCTGGAGTGCAATGGCATGATCTTGGCTCACTACAACCTTCGTCTCCGGGGTTCAAGTGATTTTCCTGCCTCAGCCTCCCAAGTATCTGGATTTACAGGCATGTATCACCATGCCTGGCTATGTTTTATATTTTTTAGTAGAGCTGGTGTTTCACCATGTTGGTCAGGTTGGTCTCGAACTCCTGACCTCAGGTGATCCACCTGCCTTGGCCACCCAAAGTGCTGGGATTACAGGAGTGAGCCACTGTACCTGGCTGAAAATGGTATGTTGTAATTGAAAGATTCTGAGTTGGGAGTTAGGATTCATTCTTATTTTTAATTTTGCAGCTTGCATTTTTGTAGCAAGTTTAATTTACATCTATAGGACTCCTTTTCTTCATCTGTAAAGTTGAAGAGATGAATTTTAATTATTTTTAAAGATCTATCCTAGTTCATCTGACGTTCTATAATTCTTTAATTCTACAGTTTCTTTTCTAGAAAACCAAATATTCTGTTAATCATTGCATACTACTTCCTTTCTGCATAGGAGCTTTGAAAGTTGTGTTTTTGTAATCACTCAGAATTTATCACTCATATCATATCCTATTGTGCACTGTTGCTTTCTAAAATTGGTCTCAACCTATGCTTATCTCTTATTTCTTCTCTGTTTTCCAGCCAGAAAGCTCCAGGATATTATCCCTAGGAGGTGCTTCACACTTACTCTCCATGTTTTTGCTCATGCTATTCCTTTTCTGTGCACTTTTTCCCATCCTGCAGCCACTTTGAGCTCCTATAACATTTTATTTATAATTATTTTGGCCTTGTATGATAGTTGTTTATGTGTTGTGTTATGCTGTATAGGAGACTGTGAACTTCTTGAGGACAGGTGTTCAGTTTTTCATCACTTTGCTAATCTTATTACTGATTCACACAGTGCTTTTCACATAACAGGAGCACAATATTTATGAAACTGAATTTGTAAAACGATTAGACCTACAGATACACTTGGACAAAATACCTTTTTACTATTCATAAATAGTGAAAAATTAACAGGATAATAAAGAAATTACCATAGCGATTTTGAGTTAAATAAGTATTTTAACCATCCAAAATGACTGCAGATATTTGTATTCCGTGATTACTTACATAGTATCATTCCTGTCTACCATCAATTCATTCTTAGTGATTCGTCTATATATTTGCATTTTCTCTGTCACTCATTTAACTGCTTGCCTTCATTTATCATTGTAGTTTAGCAGTGCCATGATCTTAAGCTTTTAATAGTACCTAATTTTGTTAACATTCTTGGTTTGATTTAAATATATAGTTTCCTGACTTTTGTATCCTTGGTCTCGGTCATTGGCTTATCTACTTTAATCTTCTGTTGCTTTTCTGTACTGTTCTATTAACATTTGTTTTCACTGGCTCTTTAACTTTTGAGAAATTATTCTCTCCTTCTTAAAGACACTTTTTTGGGTTGCTATTTCTGGGTAAAGTTTACTTTGATAAGTATCTTAGAATCAATCTGGTGTTGAGGGTGGGTGTTGGAATTGCTGTTCATTAAAAATAAGCTGAGTATCTTACAGTAACAGTCCTGGATCCTTTTAATAGTGGCAGAATGTCTGTAATGGTGATGGTAGCATTAGCCCTTTGGTTAAAGGAGTTGATACTGATTATACAAATGAGAGATGTTAACAGGGATTTTTGCAAGTGGGCTTTTTGATGATTGATTCCCTAATTGCTGAGTTTATCAAAGAATTTCAAAATGTCCATGCTATGTATGGGTAGAGATGAATCTTTTTCCTTTGGATTCATTAATCTCTTTACTCTTTAATTAATTGTCTCTGACAGGTTCATGGTTGGTTTGGACTGGATAAAAAGAAAATGACAAATAAGACAATGAGTAAAAAAACTGAAAATAAATAGGAAAAGCAAAAGATGTATTATAAAAAGTTGCCTATCTTTGTGTTATTTCGAATTAATAGCCTTTATTGAAGGATCCTTGAGAACATTATGTGAAAGAAAGGGACTTGAGAAGATAATGTGAGAAAGTCCAGAGAGAAGTTCTGTTGTACTAAGTTTAAAACTGTATTGATTTTAGTTTTATTTTTATAGCACATCTCAATCTCTTTTTAAGAGCTTATAGTATTAACAGATACTTAAGCTTTTATTTGTACAATAGCAGATAGTAGCTTGTATTTCCCTAAAGTATATTGACATTTAAATAGCTTTTCTCAGAAAGCATATGAATACACTTACTGATACAATGTCTCTTTAAGGATACAAAAGAGGAACCGGATGCACTGTTTAACTGTTCTATAAGAAATAGTAAATAAACAAGGAACCCATATCCAAGACTCTTTTCCCTAGTATTTATAATAGAACATTTTATAGTAGAAAACAAAATTGCATGTAGACTTAAGGAAAGAATTTTGGTTAATTTTGATTTTAGATAATATTAAACCATTTATTTTATTTTAACAGGTATCTTTCAGATGAAGGCATTGAAGCTTGCACAAGCTCTCCTGACAAAGTCAATGTAAATGACATCATCCTGATTGCTCTCAATGTAGGTTATATTTATTAACTTGTAAACATTTGAAATCTGGAAGCTATATTTATTAAAAAGTCTCAGAATAAATTGGGTTATATGATAACTAATATAGAGAACATTTTATTTTGTCCATTTTAACTTGAAGTGATGTTTGTTGAATTTGGTAATCTCATATTGGTAAGTTATTAATATCTATATACAGAATCCAATGAAAAAGAAAAAAATGAAATTAATATTTCTTTTTTCACCTACTAATCATTTATAGACTTTTTAAACATTCTTATTTATATTTGCTTCTTACTTACATACTATAGCTACATAATAGGAGTAAAAACTGAATATTCATTAAAATGAATTGCTATTTAATTTACATAGAAACTCTAGGTAGGTTATAACTTTTTGACAGTGGTATTTATTGTTTCAAAATAACTTTTCCTGATTATTTTAATAACTTTGATTGTTTTAAAATAATACTTATTATGGAACATTCCAGAAAATACAGAAAAGCAAAATAAGAAAACTAAATCTGCTTATAATTACTATTAATGTTCTAGTGTATATTTCTTTTCAACTCTCTCCACCCAACCCTCTAGCTGGTTTCTTTCCCCCATAATTGGATTGGCTTTTGGATTTTCTTCAAGTTATAAAAATGATTTGAAATAAAAATGTAAGTTAAACAGGCCAGGCACAGTGGCTCACGCCTATAATCCCAACACTTTGAGGCCGAGGCGGACAGACCATGGGGTCCGGAGTTCAAGACCAGTCTGGCCACTATGGTGAAATCCCATTTCTACTAAAAATACAAAAATTAACTGGGCGTAGTGGCTCGTGCCTGTAGTCCCAGCTACTTGGTAGGCTGAGGCAGAAGAATTGGGAGAACTTGGGAGGCGAAGGTTGCAGTGAGCTGAAATCACACCACTACATTCCAGCCTGGGTAACAGAGTGAGACTCCGTCTCAAAGAAAGAAAGAAAAAAAAAAAGTAGATAAACAAGTGGTTTTTTCTCAGAAAACTATAGTCTGACAAATCCATCATATCACTGCAGAATCAATATAAAGCAGAAATGATGGGCACTAAGAACATTTAAAATATAAATAAATACATAACTCTAGCTTTTTCTTTTAAAATTACTTAAATTTATTTTTATAGAATTAAACTTGGGTTTAAACAGAGAAAATTTAAGCCCTAAACTGAGTCATTGTTTTTCAGCTTCTTTGAATTTTATTTAACAAGACAAGCAAGATCATTTATTTTGGTTTCTGAGCTAAGTATTTAGGTTTTTAATAAATAAAAGACTACTTTTTAAATAATAAGCGTTAGTTAGAAATTATGTATGTTATTTATGATGAAAAATGGTCATATTTCCCAGCTACTTTAGTTTTGTCTTGCACTCAAATTAGTTAATTCTATTGTTTAAAAATATTAGAAAGAACTCTATTTTCTTGTTCATTTAAGAAAAACTTTCTAAAGATTTTAGGAGAGATTTTATGACAATTTGCTGCTTTTTTTCCCTTATATACGCAGGTAAATACCAATAAACTATAATTGTTATGAAAATTTGAATAAAATAAATCAAGATAAAGTATGCTGAGCACATAAGAGGTGCATGCTGACTATTATCTGAATGAATTAATTTGTCTTTTTTATTTTCTCTGAAATTTGTGTTTAAATACTCGAGACCAAAGCTATGGTGCAATATGATACGAAAAAACTTTTTAATTAGGGTAAAGCCTATTGCAGACAAATAATCTATTTTTCTAAGTTTGTCATCTTTTATTAAAATTTAGGCATTTATAGTATCTTGTTGAATTTTTTTCAACTTTTGAGTGATTGTGGGAAAGTAACCACTAGTTGAAAAACACTTGTATTATTGATTCTTATTGTGCAAATATAAAAAACATATGCATAGCTAATTATATATTGGGAGAATAATTCATGAATAAGTTTTCTTCTCTTCTTTCTATGGGGTACACACTGAGCTTGTTCCTTTTTCTAACAATGAACAGTGCAGTGACATGTATATGGTATTTCTCTCCAGGGAAGCCCACTGGAGGCTAGTACTGGAGGCTAGAAGTCTTTTATTAAGCTGCCTGCAAAGGTACCTTCTGCATAGCATATACCAAAATTTCAGACCCCTCCCAGAAAACAGATGTCCATCATAAATGATATTGTTTATATGAATAATCTATGTAGTGAACCACATTTTTAGTTAGGGAATGGTCCAAGTGCAAAGTCCCCAGCTGCCAGCCTAGGATTAACCTTGTAAGCTGGCCTTTCTAAAGATAGCTACCTCAGACCTGCTATGTAACTTTTAGGCTTAGATTTTTGTGTTGAAAAGGAATGTTTACATTTTTTGCTTTTTATAGTGGGGAGTTAGAATATTAAGAAATGACATTGAAATCTAGCATGTAAGTTTTACGTTCAAATACCAGAATTATTCAGAAAAAATATTTAATGATAGCCCAGTCTTAAATTACTGATCACTATCCATTAGTAAAAATTTAAAAACAAATTGTATTTTCATTTATTTTAAGATTCTGTATGATATAAAATGATTTGCCAAATAAATATTCTCTTGAATTTACTTAAATAAGTAGAGATTTTGTGTGTGTTTGTGCGTATGTGCGTGTGTCTGTATGTATTTATGTGTGCATGTGTGTGTGTGTGTATGGCTAGGTAGATGCTTTGAAAATTATTTTTAAAGTTTTATAGGCAGAACATTTTACTATATTATTATTTTTTGTTGTTCAGTATAACAGCATTCTTGGATCCAGTCATCGTCATAGCAATTTTGATATAATGGCATCTGAATAATAACATTGTCTTTATAGTACTTATATGTTGAGTTGAATTTAGGGCATTTAAATATTTGGTAGATCATTTTCATCTTGCTAAAAAGGCATCAAAATAGCATTTGTATATTCAAGGACACATACTATATATATGTATGGCACTTTAGAAATTCTGTGAACTTTGAGTGTATAGTCATTTTTTAGCCTGACAACAACTTTGTGAGATAGGGTTGATGGTGTTTTTCCATTTTAGAGAGGAGTAAATTAACTGGGTATAGAGAATTAGTGACAGTGTCCTAGATCATATGATTGCTTAATTACAGTTGGGATGGATCAAAGTTTATGATTGTTGTCTGGTGCTCATTTATTTTACAGTGATGCCTCATTTTCATTTGAATTTAATTTCATAATTATTGAGAAAAACCAGAAATTAGGGATCATGATATATTATAAAATTTTTATGTGTTCTGTTTCTCATTCATATTTAAATATTTCAGCTTTTTGGTAACTTCCAAATAATGTAAATGTTATCATGAAATGTTAGTTATGTTATTGATATGATGGTTATGTATGTTAAGATGATTTTAAAAAGTACATGTTTTAATGCTCACTAAAATAAACATGTTGGCTAACATTTATTAAGTGCTTACTCTGTGCAAGTCATTACACTGAGTGCTTTGCATCTATTAACATTTAATTTTAAAACAGTCTTAATATAGGGAAGACTGCTGTAAAGAAGTATTTTTTTAACCCTGTCTTATTCAGTACTTTCCAAGTGAAAAGACATACAACGTGAGGTACAGTTTATATTTCTTTTCATTTAGTTATTGGATTGAGGTAGCAAAAAGCCTATCTAAAGCACTGTTACCCAGTAGTCTGGATTTGGCTCTTAATTTACCATGTAGTTCTCTTCAGTGAGTTTTAATTTGAGTGATCCCTGCATTACATAAAGGAATAAATTATGAATCACAGTAGTAAAAAACTGGAAAGAATCTGTGGGGATTATGTAACTTATAGTCTTGTTTCTTAAGCTGACCACATGTGGATATTTCAAATAGGTGGATGTTCTGTTATTGTAGGTGTTCAAAAAAGATGGTCCTGCCCCTCTGTATGTATTTATTTCACATCACAGTAGTTGTAATCATCTAGTGTTTTCTCCTTAAGTCTAACAAAAAATTTTCCCTTATAATTTATGTGGTTAAATGAACTCTGTTTTCTTTTATCTTGTTCTTAAGGTGATGAAGAGCTACTGTTTATTATAAGGAAAAGTAAAACAATACAACTTTAGTTATGCTAATCTCACTATCTCAAGCATCAAGTTAATTTCTTAGTTTAAATAACTGGACTTTTTTTTATGAGTACTGATAGTTTTCCTATGAACAAATTTCTTACCATTCCTTTATATTTTCACTTTCTAAAGAGGACACAGTCCTACAGTGTTCTACTTTGTATGTAGATTCTGTAGTCAAAATTTTCTTTTTTTGTGTCATGAATGCTATAACCTTGTTTATGTTAGTTTTTATATTTTCCTTGCTGAGTTACAAGTACTTCTGCATTTTCATATTTCATTTGTTTACCAACTTCGATTTCTGTAATTTGTTTAAGCAAATGAAATTACTATAGTAAAGGTTACTATAACTTCTTTGGTATTCCAGTGGTACTGTTTCCTGGGATATTGTATGTTACCTAGCTTTATGTTATAGATATTATAGCCTATAGGGTGATATGTTTTTATGTAATGTCAAGGTTGTATGGGATTCAATTTTTAAAAATATGCTATGTGTATTTATTCAAAAGCTGTCATTCGATCTTGGAAGGTAACATTAATTTTTTAGTAAGATCATAATTTACATAAATTAAGTTTTAGATTTTAATAGAGAAGAGTTAGTATGTTAAAAGGTTACCTAAAGAAATATGACCAGGATTGAGGCCTTATATGTTACTGTTCATCTTACCGGTATACTTAAAACAGCGTATTATGGGGCTATGTTACTTGAAAGATTCATAACATATATAGATCTCATGACCAGTTAAAGAAACTGAATTTATGTTTCACAAAACATAAATAATTTCATCTTTTGTTCATGAGATTAGATTTAAATTTACTCTTTTCTATAATTCCATTTTAATAATAATATTTTTATTTTAGACAGATCTGAGAACAATTGGCAAGAAATTCCTCCCCGCTGACATCAATAGTGGAAAGGTAGAAAAGGTAAAGAAAATCAATAACTTCTTAAATTATGCTAACTACGATAAATATGAACTAAATTACTGGAATTATTTTTTGTCAATAAAGACTGCAAACTCTGGAGGTGAACAGGTCCAAAGTCATTGTTATGGTGTCTTCCATGGAAAATTATTAAGAGTTAAAACTTTTAGTGGCTTTTCAACGTTTAAAAAAAAAAAACCTTTGTTTCAGGAATTGTAACTTTGGTATGCTTACATGAACTGTGAGACTTACCAGATGTAATTGGCGCTCATTACAAGGACCTTTTATCTTTCAATTTTATTTACCTTTTTATTTTAGTTACCGTAATAAACTATTATGTTTATTTAATGATTTTATTATATGCAAATGTAAGATGAGGAAAGAATATTAGAAGCAATTTGATGAAGCTGTGGATTTGTTTGTTGCTGTCATTTTGCAGTACACACATATGTATTCGTGTTACTAATTTTTTTTGTGTTAGCAAATTATATATATATATTTTTTTTTTGGAGACGGAGTTTTTTGCTCTTGTTACCCAGGCTGGAGTGCAATGGCGCGATCTCGGCTCACCGCAACCTCCGCCTCCTGGATTCAAGCAATTCTCCTGCCTCAGCCTCCTGAGTAGCTGGGATTACAGGCACACACCACCATGCCCAGCTAATTTTTTGTATTTTTAGTAGAGACGGGGTTTCACCTTGTTGACCAGGATGGTCTCGATCTCTCGACCTTGTGATCCACCCACCTCGGCCTCCCAAAGTGCTAGGATTACAGGCTTGAGCCACCGCGCCCGGCCAGCAAATTATATTTTTACCTGAATGTTTAACGCTGTAAGTTTAAGTTTATAATGTCTTTGTTTTTCATCAGGGGAAATGAAATACATCTGGTTATCTTCCTTTGTGAATAATTATATGCTTGAAGACATAAATGCCACTGCCACAGGTTTCTTTTTGTGAAAGCCGTCTGTCTTGATTCCTTTATTTATTCTCAGTCTCAAGCTTTTCTTTCATCTCTATTGTTCTTCTTAGAATCCTCTCCAGTTTCTTTACATTTCTTTTTCTTTTGGTTATAGTAGTTATCTCAAACTTCACTGTACGCCAGAATTTGCTGAAGGTCGGGCTAGAACACAGATTGCTGGACCTCAAAACACCTCTAGTCCCTTCTGAGATTCTGATTCATTAAGACTAGGATGGAATCCAAGAATTTGCATTTTGAACAGTTTTCCAGGAGATGTAGAATTCTGGGAAGCACACTTTAAAAAGTAGGCAACAATACTGACTATATCTGTTGAATGCAACAAATCTCTATAGGAAAAGTAAATACTGTCAAAGCACTGTCTGTACATCCTTACATGATTTTACTTAAGAAAATTTTGAACCTTTCTGGATTCTTGGTTTTCTGCTTTCTCTGTGTGTCCTAAAAGATGTTGAGAACTCACCTGTGCTGCAAGCTCATGGGATAGTAGTATGGAGACTCTTATCTGTTCCCTTCACTCTTTTCGAGTGTTTTTGCTTTTAAAAGTTTTGCACAGTTATCTTTTTAAGATTTCCTTTGAATGTAGCTAACAAGAAGAAAAAGAATCTTAAAACTTTCTGATCTAGATTATTCTGTGTCAAATTTTATCTTTGAAAATATTATTAATGCAAATAGAACTTCACATGAAAAAAATTTGATATCTCTGCTGTTCTTCTTTGATTATATTTTTTCTTTCACTACCTACTTCCAATACAATATTGTTAATAAACTAATAGTTCTCTAGCATTATTATTTTCACATAATTCTTCTTCTTTTATTTTTTAATAGAATTTTGCCCTGTTGCCCAGGTTGAAGTGCAGTGATATGATCTTGGCTCACTGCATCTTCTGTCTCCTGGGTTCAGGTGATTGTCCTGCCTCAGCCTCCTGAGTAGCTGGGACTACAGGCACACACCACCATGTCCGGCTAATTTTTGTAGTTTTAGTAGAGATGGGATTTCTTTGTGTTGGCCAGTCTGGTCTCAAACTCCTGACTTCAAGTCATCCTCTCACCTTGGCTTCCCTAAGTACTGGGATTATAGGTGTGAGCCGCCGTGCCTGGCCTTTTCACATAATTATTTTTATTTATATTATGTTATATTATATTTATGTGATATAAGAATATATATTATTCTCACAGAATTAATAATTGTCTTCACCAGTATTAATGAAGCTATTCTGAAAAATAAATAACCGTTTTAGAAGTTGACACACAGAAATTACGCATTTGGTTTGCCTTACATTGAGATATAACTTCACACCAGTTAGAATGGCGATCATTAAAAAATCTGGAGACAAGGCCAGGCGCGGTGGCTCACGCCTGTAATCCCAGCACTTTGGGAGGCCGCGGCGGGTGGATCACGAGGTCAAGAGATCAAGACCATCCTGGTCAACATGGTGAAATAACGTCTCTACTGAAAAAATACAAAAATTAGCTGGGCATGGTGGCGTACGCCTGTAGTCCCAGCTACTCGGGAGGCTGAGGCAGGAGAATTGCTTGAACCCAGGAGATGGAGGTTGCAGTGAGCCGAGATCACGCCATTGCACTCCAGCCTGCGTAACGAGAGCGAAACTCCATCTCAAAAAAAAAAAAAAAAAAAAAAAAAAAAAAAAAAAAAAATCTGGATACAACAGATGCTGGAGAGGATGTGGAGAAATAGGAACGCTTTTACACTGTTGGTGGGAGTGTAAATTAATTCAACCATTGTGGCAGACAGTGTGGTGATTCCTCAAGGATCTAGAACTAGAAATACCATTTGACCCAGTAATCTCATTACTGGGTAGTGTAGCTAACAAGAAGAAAAAGAATCTTAAAACTTTCTGATCTAGATTATTCTGTGTCAAATCCTTTGGGTATAAACCCAAAGGATTATAAATCATTCTATTGTAAAGACACATGCATATATATATTTATTGTGGCACTGTTCACAATAGCAAAGACTTGGAACCAACCCAAATGCCCATCAATGATAGACTGGGTAAAGAAGATGTGGCACATATACACCATGAAATACTATGCAGCCATAAAAAAGGATGAGTTAATGTCCTTTGCAGGGACATGGATAAAACTGGAAACCATCATTCTCAGCAAACTGACACAAGAACAGAAAACCAAACACCACATGTTCTCACTCATAAGTGGGTGTTGTCCAATGAGAACACATGGACACAGGGAGGGGAACATCACATACCAGGGCCTGGGGTTGAAGGACTAAAGGAGGAATAGCAGGGGGTGGGGGGATTGGAGAGGGATAGCATTAGGAGAAATACCTAATGTAGATGACAGGGCAATGGATGCAGCGAACCACCATGGCACATGTATATCTGTGTAATAAACCTGCACTATCTCCACATGTACACCAGAACTTAAAGTATAATTTTAAAAAACGTAACTATCTTCAGCCAAAGTAAATATTTAAGGAATGTATTTTTGATGTGAATTGAATTATTTTGGCTTCTTTGTTAGTAAAATAAGACTAATGTAGTAAAAGTTCCTTATTTATGTCTTCATTGGAATGCTTTATTAACCAGCATTTTACCATTAATGATGACTATAAATACATGACTCCAGAATCAGTCACTACTGCTCAGTTACTAACATTATGTAAGTTATAGTTTTTGTTTAAATTAACTTGGTTTTAATCTGTGAATAAGATATAGAACAACATTTGGCAAACAGAATATTTGAATGAATAACCTGCCTATATCTCTTGATCATGCCAGATTTTGGTATAAAGTTATATTTTCTAGTTCTTCTTCTTCTTTTATATATATATATATATATATAAAATATATTACTATATATATATATATATTACAACAGAGTGAAAGAAAGAAAGAGCTGGGTTATCTAGTGATCGTTCAAATAGGGCGTGCTAGAAACCAATGTTCCAAAAACCAACTTAGAAAATTTAAAATATATGATAGACCAGCTATTTCAAGAAGCAGAGGAAGCATGGTTGTGACATGTTTCTGACTGAGGGCGGAGGGGAATTAAATGATAGGGATCAGGAACAGATTGGAAAGTCCAGACATAAGGTCTTTACCCTGGATTTAAATCTTTTTCCTGCTTACTAGTTTTTGTGACTTTTCATAAGTTAGTTAATCTTGGTAGATTTTAAGTTCCTTATTTAAATGCTACTCCCTTACAACATTGAAGACCTCAATGAGATAATGTACGTGAAACACTAAATAGTACAATGCATATGGCAAGCTTTGAGAATCATGAGCAATTTAGGATGGTATTTTTGTCTTGGAAGTCTAAGAATATATGAATCCTTATTATGTCAGTTAGGTATCTTGTTACTGAGTGATCTTCAAGGGGATTCAGTGAATAAGGTAAATTGGTAAGTCATTATTGTCTGGGTTTTGGCCCCAAACCCCATGCAGAACACTACTACTTGAGGTAGGTTGGTCTCTGTCATAAAACTAAGGCAAGCTAAAAGCCCTGCTCTGTTTCTATTAAGCTCCAAGCTCGTCTGATACTACCATTTCTGAGAGAGAAAGCCAAAGGAGAGTGAGGATTGGAGAGCATCTGACCCCGTATTTAAGAAGCAGTTAAAAAGCAACAGGTTGGGGGAGGAGGCTGTCATCTTAGTAGAAGCCACCTTTATTAACCTTGTGTGGTCCCTTTGCAAGAGCCTCACCTGTGTATTTTCCAACCACCTTGGAATCTCATTCACTAGGCCTGAGGCTCAATACAGTACTCTGGAGCTTCCCCAAGACAAATCATTAATCCTTTCTGGAGGTAGATTAAAGGAGTGTAGAGAGAAGTCTTCAAACTTGATGCCCAAAGTAAATTATCACACAGTGTGTATTATTATTTTTGTAATTAATAAAACTTTGACCATGCTGTTTTCAGCCTTTGGGAACTTGAGAATGGAAAGGGAGAATGGGGAGCTGAAATCTTGATCAGGTAAGAAAGATTCTAAGTCTGTAGTTAGATGACAGCTAATCCTGGACACATTGAATTTAACCCCGTTTTAAGATACA